CTTTGGAAATAGCTTCCTTACGCATTTTACCCCTCGTGGAGCAGCATAGGTCGACCACCAATGCCCTCCAACCAACTCTATTATGGGCTCGTCTTCCCAGTTACTTCTGATTGCTATTCATTCTTTTCATGTTTACCTCCAGTTCCTTACGCAATGTGGTCGTTGGCCTTCCTCTTTTCTTTTACCTCTTAGAATTCCAAGTTAGGGCTTACCTCGTGACGCAATTTTATGATTTCCGCAATATATGTCCTATCCACCTCCAGTCTCTTTTCATAATTTCCTCTTCAGATGAAATTCGGTTTGCTCTCTGCCACATCGTGTTGTTGCTGATGGTATCGGGCCAGAGGATATTGAGTATCTTACGTAGACAAGTGTTAATAAATACTTGTACCTTTTTGATAATGGTTGTAATAGTTCTCGAAGTTTCAGCTCTGTACAGTAAAACTGTGTTGGCGTTCGTATTGAAGATTGTGACTTTGATGTGGGCTGACGATTGTTTTAAGTTGCGGATGCGCTTGAGTTGTAGGAATGGTGACCTTACGTTTCCAATCTGTTTCTTCAAATATGCATCAGATCGATGATGCTGCCCAGATATGTGAAGGTTTCCACCTTTTCCAGAGTTTCTCCAAGTGTGATTGGGTTGGTTGAAAATAGCACAGGAGGTTATTTATTCTATGTCATCTTAATTTAGTTTATTTTACCCTCTTATTTTAGAAACATTTCTAACCTTTGTAAGTAACGTAACTCAGTAAGCGTTGATTCAGTGACCAAAACCAAAGTGTTTATTGCATCTAGTTTCTGGTGCTATCTAGAAAAATTTAGACAGGTGGGTCAGTCGGTAAGGTTAAAGATTGGTTTTGTTAACTCAACAATCGTTAACTTGACATAACTTTGTAAACGATTTCGGGAAAACTAGATTACGTCGCAGTTTTCGAGTTTATTAAGTATATGCAGGAATCAAAAACAGCGGTAATTGCTCTGTGACTTTTTAAAACCTTTAAATAAAGTGTACAAAGACAAGCAAACTGGAAAGAAGATTCTTCTATCATATTGAAAATGGAATTTTTGTTGTCTCTAATGGAAGCTGAATCCTTATTCTAAAGTTATTGATTTATACACTAATTGTTATTTTGCTATTTAAATAATATGTTCCTGTACTCTGACATTTTTATTTTTCATAAAGGATCAGCCTACACGCGAACTTATTAAATCTCATAAGCAAATACCTATTTTACGTTCTAACATAGAAAAGTCAAAGGTTGATGATGAAGTATCATCGAATACATCTTGGAGTACTGTTGGCTCAGTTGAGACTGTTAGCAATTTATCATGCATTAGTAGTGGGACAACACAATTTATCTTAGAAGATGGTGTAGTCAAAAAACCTTGGCGTCTATTAAGTCACGCTAAACGCTTGAATTCAGTACATTCAACAATATTATCAAACCAAACAGAGGCTGTAAAACATGTAACAAAACATAAAAAACGCAAAGAAAAACTTCGTCGAGTTTATCGTTATTTAGATGAACATGAAAGAACATGAAAGAAAACTATTATCTACCTAAATTGCATCCTAAAAAATAAACTATAAATTCTTCTCAGTCCTATGTACATTTGACTATTTTTTATCTAAATACTTGATAAATAAATTTTTTGGATCATCAGAATTTGTTTCTTTTTTAAAACATTTACTTTATAATTCTTTTAATTTATTTGTTTTTCAGTTGGTCAGTTGTATTTTATCAAGTCATTTTAGCAGAGTATATGTAGTTTTCGTGATGGTTTACAATGAAATTTTATAGTCTCTGAACATTTGTTTTGACTTAGTTAGGAATAAAGTAGTTGTCTAATCCTCCAAGGTTTACAATAATTTTCTAGCTGATATCCGTTTGTAATGAAACGTTAACATATCTCCAAAAATTACCTTTTGTGTTTGGATCTATAGTTCATCAGTATTCGGGAAAAGATGACTATTGTATCTGGTTTGATAGGTCAAATGGTGAATAATAAAACGTTTAGAGTTCACTTATGTACTTTTTTTTTTACCATCCAATTGATGTTTAGGACTTCAATTGATCAGTCTCTTGTTGGTATATGTACATCCTGTGCGAACCGCCCCCATATTTCCTTAAATCACAGGCATTATAAGTATAGATGAATGGTGGCTAGAAGTGGAATCGAGGATGCGCGTTTCGTCCTATTTGAGACTCGTCAACTAGATGTACCTGCATCTCAGAGTCGATGTGCACTCGGGGACTTTACCCCATTGTACGAGCTAGTGGCTATCCGTATTCAGTAGCTAAGTCCACAACTCGATGGCGTTTGAAGCGAACGGTACTGGGTTGGAGTTTCGGAGTGAATACCAACGATTTATAAGCTTGAGGTATTCACATTAATAGATCAGAGAGTGTTGGCCCCCAAATGCCTGGTACGGCCGAGAGTGGGGAGAGTTAGCTCTTTTTCTCGAAATGCTCTCACATGACCACGTGCATACACCCACTGCCAAGGAAGTCCTACTCACTACCTTCTCGCGAAGGGGGTGTTGTTTATGAAATTGAGAGGACGAAAAGCGAATGTCTGGCGCTTTAACGGGGTTGTTGGACACAGAGAGTTCACCCAGGGGAGGTGGAAAACCCTGATTCCAAACCAATGGTGCACATGAACTCCAGTATCCTGAAGGAACAAATGGTATACGGACCAATTATTGGCCACCGGTTACCATGGGACTACATCTCCTTACGTTGCTCCACTGCCTTGTGGATCAGACCTTCAGGTCGAAGGCTCTGGGTGTGGCCCCCTAAGAAAACCACTTGCTTCGATTTTGGTACTCGGGCAGTATCCCAGTTCTCACACAAATCGGATGGTTTATGTGGTGCATATATATTTGGTACCTCCTTATGCCAATGTTTCTGTGTTAAAATAAATAGCCAATATAATGTCGTGTTACGTAGCCCTTGACGAGATATTTATTCTGATTTGTAGTTGGATTATTATTTCTCCTTGACTTTATGTTATCTATATCTATACTGGTCATTAATCTTACAGTCTCGTTTTTCGTATTAACTTATTTAAGTTAATATTACATATTAATCACCGTAACTAACAATTTTATATTATTTTACAAACAATCCGAAATTCATTTTTGTATTGGTTGTTTGGAGCGAACGGTACTGGGTTTGAGTTCCGGAGTGAACGTCATTTCTGGAATGCAGGTACATCTAGTTGACATGTTTCAAATAGGATGCAGTGCGCTTCCTGGATTTCACTTTTAGCCGCCCTCCATCTCTGCTTATAATCCTAGCTTTAAATGCTATGGTTTTAAATGATGTATTTGTCTTAATCCTGGCCACTGAAATTCTAAGTTTGGATAATTAACTGTAGAATCTGAGGGGAATTTGTTGGAAAGAATATTCTTCATTCATATATCTGTTTTTTTCTAAAAACAATTAAGTTATTTGTACAAAGCGATGCTGACAATATTTATTGCATGTGATTGTTCTTTTTAAGTTTTTAATTTAAGAAATATGCTACCGATTTGTAACTAAGTAGTGTGTTTATTTCGATTTCTGGAAATTTTAACTTTGAGCAAACGTGTGAGGTCATCTATCCTTAACTAATCTAAAGCTACTTACGTAGATCTATGAACACACCACTGTTGCGTATTCCAACATTTAGGATGAAAAAGCCAATGAAGTGAGTGGTAGAGCTTGAAATGAAATCCTCAGTGAAAATTGTACTTTTTTATATAGCGCTCGTTTGCTAAATGGAAAGCGAAATACCCGAAAAATTTTGATTCCGCATACTCACTGAAGAGTTAAAAATGAGTGCGCTAAGGATTCATGGAAAGATATTATTTCGACATAGACTTAAAAACTGGGCTTCTGTTTTTTTACAGAAGGATGTGGATAGAAATCTCACTGTTCACTTTTAGAGCTTACTTCCATATGTAAAAAATGTGTGGATTTTGACATTTGAACTAATTCATACGAACATGATAAAAGCGAGAAACTCATTAAATGATTGTAATGAAAAACACTTCATATACAAATATGAAAAGATGGATACGAATTTATGGTTTCTTTTCTACCATATCAGTTCTAACTAAACACGTTACTTCCTAATCAACCAACTGAAGTTTTAAGTAGTTTATATTTGATTATTTTTCATAAGAAGTAAATCATAGTGTTACCATAGATCTACTATTTACATGACATATCAATTTTTTAGTGGTTAATAGCAAAGTACTGCTAATTGAAAGACTTCCAGTTTCAATTTAAACAGTAGGATGATATCAGTTTTCTGGTGGCTTATTTCGATAGAATTTATATTTTCTAATGGTTCAACTGTTAAATAGGGTAGCATCGATCTTCCATCATTGAGGTTTACATTATGAGTTTTTAAGTCTGTCACACTCAGTTCTATACATTGTATCAATTCAGTTATCTTTGTTTATTTTTGTTTGCATAATTTCAACATTTTTTTGTAAATGGTGTGAATGAACTATGACTAGGGTACTCAATTAGCTATGTGTCCATCCTATCATATTTTCTCCTTTTTTTTAGTACCGATAATTCTAATAATAGATATGTAGCAACGAATATACTACTAAAATTCATTATTCAACCCTTGGTCTAGCAAACTATGTTTCAAGATATTTTAGAAAATATCATAATGTTACATCATTCTTTTTAAGACAATTTCATCTGAAGGTAAATTTTCTGAAAAAAAAGTAAACATCTTAGTCAAAGTGCTAGGATTTTTCATCTCATCCTGGGTTAGTGAATATCCAGGAAGCATAATTCAAGTATGCAGCACATAGGAGGAGTAGATCTGTTCTTTTTGTCATCGTTTTTATACATCATAGGATATGAATAAGGTTTTCTGTTTTCTTTGTCTTAATTTTATTATTTACTTGTTTAGATTCACTTATTTGGACATGCCAAAAAATTCATTTAAAAAAAAACTTTGTATTTCCTTATTTTTTAAAAACAGATTAACTTATGCTTTCTAAGAGTTTTATATTATCACATGTAAATTGGTGTCAAATCAGTAAATTATTTCCTGTGAATTCATTTATTTTATTACAATGTCAATGGAATCATTCTATCCAGTCATATAATCAGACTAATAATAATAATAATAATAATGAGGACAGTAGTGAATTTCTAGAAAAGCTTAATGCTGCTAAAGACAATCCTCCTAGTGGATCAGCTTTATATCAAGATGATGATCATTTTTCTCCAGTTGTTTTCCCTGATCCCATATTCAATTGGGAATCTATCAGAACTAGCTTAAACGCTAGACGTATGCATGAACGATTCAATATTGATAAAATTGTAAGTTTAATTAGTATTTTATTGTTTATATGTTCTTTAATTTCGATTATTTCTCTTTTCTGATCGGTAGAACTTGATTAGTTCTATGATCTACAACAATAATCTCTTTAAGCAGAGATGGATGTTGGCTAACGGTGTAATCCAGGACGCGCATTACATCCTATTTGGGGCTCGTTAGCTGGATGTGCCTGCATTTCAAGATTGACGTTCGCTTCGGGACTCGGACCCTTCACGTTGTAGACTTAGCTACTGAGTCCAGATGGCCACTAGCTTGTGCAATGGGGTGAATTCCCTGAGCTCACATCGACTCTGGGATGCAGGTACATCTAGTTGACGAGCCTCAAATAGGACGAAACGCGCATCCTCGTTTCCACTTCTAGCTACCATTCATCTCTGCTTATAATGCTTCTGATCTTAAGATGGTCGTTTCGTCCGATTATGAGACTTCTTGTTAGACTTTTAACTCAACTGGATCAAGATCCAAACGTCACACTCAGGAAAATGACAGATTAGTGTAAGCGGCTACAAAACATCAGACACAACAATGAGTTAACTGAACAGGTAAATTCAAATTTAACTTGAAGTAGTGTCAATGCTATTACTAGGTTAAATGCTCAGAAGCCAAAAACAACTCGTAACAAACTAACGACTGGCTGTTGGTTATGCAGAAGGTTATTTAAGAGGCACGTAGTTGATGAATGTTAGGAATAAAAGCTCCATAATGACTAACTAGTCCCGAAAAGGATCGTAGTGTGGGGACGTCCGTCCGTCTATGCATAGTTTTCACTACCTAGATATTCTCTGAATCTGGTCTTCTGCCATCCTTGTCGATTATAAATCCGAAGTAGCGTACCGTTTGCACAGAAAAGTTACATTTCTCTGGACGGAACCAAAGTCTGTATTCGGCTATTCGCGACAGCACCTGGTCGAGCTTTTTTTCTAAGTCTATTCTATCTACTCCCATAATTATTACACCATCCAGACAAGCTGCAGCACCTGGAATATCCTATAGCATAGTATCCATTACTTGCTGAAACATGGATGGGACCGTCTTAACTCCGAATGGCTGTCGATTATACCGGCCCTTGTGTGTGTTTATGGTGAGCAAATCTTTACACTCATCAGCAACAGGAATTTGTAAATAAGCTTCCGACAAATCCAACTTTGCAATGAGCTTACCTCCATTCATTTAAGCAAAAAGATCTTCGGGTAGGGGTAATGGATATTGATGAGTTTCTAGGGCTTCATTTAACCCGGTTGGGTAATCAGCACATAAACGGACGCTACCATTAGTCTTCTTTACTACCATTATCGTGCAGCTCATTCTGAGAAATTTACCAGTTCAATAATACCCAATTTATGAAGTCGTTCTAGCTCTTGTCCAACCACTGGGAAGGCAGCATATGGTACAGGTCTCTTAGGTTGAAACACTGGCGTTTCTCCTATATTTAGCTTTTTGCTCCAATGTTCGTTTACTTGCAGACAATCTAGGGTTTTATGGTATTTTATATATTGTTATCTTTCCGAAAAATTATGGGACGCTGGTAATCATATCACCATTGTTGGTCATCTAATCAGAAACTCGACGTGTGATTCTTCACTTTTTATATGTTTCTGGCGAAGCCTCTAGTGGACGCTGACTGGATAAGATTCTTGTCAGTGTTATCAGAGTCTTTGTTGTGTTTTTTTTTCGGGTAGTTTTCTGGATCTCCCGAACATTCGGTATTATATTTATAACTAAGGAATCTCATTAACATTAGCGTGAGTGATGAATGTTATGATTATCCTGTGAGAGTGTTGCTCAGAATGAAGAGTTTTCATTCAGAAATGGTGAAAATGCATGATCTAAAGGATGATAAGTGAATGTGTTTGAGCCTTTCACCTGTTCTGAGTCATATCATGCCACGTCTCCAACCACTTTTTGAGGTTATCGCGCATTTACTATCTATATAGTTTGCATGTATCAACTGGACCCATAGCAACCGTAAATGACTTTATGAACTCATGCCAAGTTCTGGTTTAGGTACCATTAGCTGTTATTTGATCTTTTCGTATGTCAACTAATATTGCATTTTAGGGTAGGCAGTATTTAGGTATTCGTAACACATTTCCTAGCTATATTTGTCGCTGAAAGTTTGTAGCTTTGTATATAGAATTGTTTTTTTTTCTTGTTCTCTAATCATAACCTCAACATTGCTCACTAATTGCTTCCAACATATACGAGCGTTACTGTGAAATGACCTATAATTATGAACTTTTAGCTTACACATCTGATCCACTTTCATAGTCCATGTTCACAGTTACGTCATAAAGCAAAACCTTCACGTAAAATCAAATTTAGCGCTTTCACTTTTTGTAATAATACGATCTCATTAAGTTGTTCAATCAAGATTTATTTATTTCTTAGTTTTCATTTTAATAAACTTTCAATAGTAATCCAATTCATAATAAGAATTATTATTATCTTTCAAACTGTACTTAATTCCCAAAATCCATTGATATATTTATAAAAAGAAATATAATTTGAGATTGCACTTATCACAGTTTATTAGTGTTGCCATAATATATATATACTGTGTGTGTGTGTGTCTATATACAGTTGTTACCATAAACAAGATGTCTAAATATTTAAATTTGTAAATCTTATTTAATGTTTTTGTTGAATAAAACAAACAACTGTATTCCAATTTCTAATAGATAGATTTAAAAAAGCAAATGGATGGTATTCATGAAAAAATAAATGCCTTAAAAGAAGATAGAATTTCACTTCAGTATCAATATGAACACAATAAACAGGTATATGGAATTCTTTTTCTTTTCTTTTTTTTACAATTTTCATTAACTGCCTGTTTTTCTCAGAAATAATTCAATAAAATACATGTAGTATCGTTGATAAATTAAGAATATTGTTTAGAAAAAGATACTAGAAATAATAGAATCAGTGTTAGTGAAAAGATTGTAGTATGAACTTAAAGTACTACTCATTGTTTCATCGTTTGGAACTGAAATACAAGAAATTGTATTTGATTTCTTAAATATATTTCCTTGATAAATTCACTAATGATACATATATATTTCTCTCACTTGAATGGAGGGACATTAATAAGTGTATGGAACCCAATAATCAAATATAGATGCACATTTAGTTTTGAAGTCATATGTTTTCTATGATGGTTAGTGGCACTATTCAGTTTTTAATTATATTGTATTCTCTGATGGTTTAATTGTGGCTCTTTGAATATTGCTCTGGATAGTATCATCAACTCCTACTTCATATTGAAGTGAGCTTTCCCGTTATTCTACCACTGTTGATTTAGTTCGTTTTTATGACCTTGTTCGTGAATGATTGTCTTTGTAAATTTTATTGTCTCCATTTGTTTTGACATTCCTATTTACTGTCGCTTTCGGTTGACTTCTGGGCAACTATCAGAATAGTTTCTATGTAGGTTGAAAATTTAGTCACTGACAATCTTTCTTCCATTTAACACTTGTGAAGATAAATGTCTTCCTTATTTCTATTTATTTTCTTATTGGAAAGGATTCAGATGAAGTTAAAGCTGCTGCACGTGCATTACGAAGTGAACAAAAGTCACTAGAGGTTTGTCGCCATTTTTCATTGCCTTCCATAAATTTATGCAATCAATTGTTCAATATGGTGTTTAAACGTTAGTTATTCAAAGGTGTTGTTTTCGTCATTTTTATCATTAAAAACACGAAGTTCAGTGAAAGGATCTCTTCAGCGAATTTATTCTCACGCTGTGCAATCGTCTGTATATATATGAGCTTGTCAAAGTATTAGTTTCGTGTCGACATATGAACAAGGAATAAATATTATGATGTAATAGAAAGGTTGCAATACTAGATTACGTAATTTAAATAATAACTATAAAGGATTGTGTGCGTACAAATAGAAAACATTGTAAAATTAATGAGTTAGTAATAGATTATAATGTGAATGAAGTAAGATGATCAAAATGTTTTTGTCACAATAATTAAGAGTAATAGAGTTGTACAATTAGACAAAGTGATATCAAAAACTGATAGTTTAAGGTCATAGTAAAGGTATAGATCAAATGCAATTCTTTTGTACACACAGTTCTGGCTGCATCTAAAGGTTGGTAAGAGCTTCTGATGTTTTAAGGAGTTGGATCTGAAAAAAATCTAGGTAGATTTGGACGAATTCCATAAACAACCTTTAAACCAACCTGTGGATCAGTGAAGTTGTTGGGATCGAACGAATGTCCAAGTATGGAACTTTTAACTGCTTTTCTCACCTCTGCGGAGCCTCACTGAGACATATTTTCGTATCCGAGTTGGAAGCAAGCGCTGGCTACGGCCTGTGTACCTTGCTCCACAAGAGCAGGTGAACTAACACACTTGATAAAAATAACATTCTATACAGGAAATCTGTGACTGACTTTTACTAGCAGAAAGCTTTTCTGTTTTTATAAATGATGAGCTCCCTAGTCTGGGCGCCTCCATGTGCACCCACCAAAAATTTCGTATATATATTATATATTTATGACCATAAATGATGATTTCTTCAAAATAATTCAGTAGTTTGCAGAATCTTTTCATTTTATTTAATCTTGTCTGTTCATCAACGTGACTTGTTAATTTGATTATCTTATTTTATCATTATAATATTTATTTATTAAGGGGTTATTTCGTATTAATGTAGACGAACTAATTATTGTATGCTTGTATAGTAGCAATATTTCGAATAAAATGTCATTATAAAATATTTCGTATTTGTTGTAATCATCCTACCAGCCATTCTGAGTCTAGGTGCGGGGTACTAGGTAGTGATGGAAAACCGATTAGTGAAGTAGTTGTTAATTATCAGTTGAGTTATTTCAAACATGCATTTCGTACGACCATCCATTGTCTACATCGACGTAGGATGTTTTCTGGCGTATTGATAGGTTATAATAAAGCTAGGGGCAACCAAGCCCAAACATATTATTAGTCCATAGAGTTACTGACTGTTGATAGGTGTAGACTACCTGGTTGAGGTCTGCACGATTTTTGTAAATGAAGGTTAGAAACGTTGGGCGACATGGCTGAAAATCGGCAACAATAGCATATACACTTTCACTTTTCGTCTTTTATTTCTCTAAATTATCTTGCGATTCTTTTTATCACAGAAATCTATATTTTCTCCTCGAATCATATCTTCTAAAACTTATCTTTTATACTACCACTGAAACTATTAATAATTCTACTACTTTAGGATTTGTTTTGATATTTTCAACTCACTGTATTAATGTGGGGTAACAACTTCAGTCGATGGACATATGCTCCAGTTTCTACGTGTTGTATATGATCATTTAAGTAATAACAGGTTTTACTATCATAATGAACTTTTACTGCAGGAAATATTTAAATTCAATTCGAGTCTGGAAATAGTTTTAAATTATTGGAATATACGTTAACATCAGTATCGACAAATATGATCGCCTTTTCGATTGTTTCTAATTGTTATTCCTTTTCTAAAATATTTTCATTATGCTATGTCATCTTAGTAGATATACGTTAAATGAAGAATATTTGAGTGAATAATTGTTTTCAATAACTTCATCATCAGGCTTTACAGTTATAAGTCCATAATTATGATATTTTACAAAGGCCAAAAATAAGATATACGTTACTTTTAATTTTTAGTCAATGTTTATATTGGTAGAGAAATTAATAAGTCCATTATCTGATATTTTCTATTTAATAGATATTAAAATAACAATTTATATCGGAAAGCGCGAACATCTCAATTTAAGTTGTCTTCGCAATACTTTTAATATGTATTTGAAGATATTGGTTAACATGATCAGTTGTATTCATTTTCCATCCTCCTCTAAATCTTAAGTATCAACCAGATTTGTTTCTTTCGAACTAATATTTCTTATGTTTCGATTTCTGGTTGGACCATAATTTATGGACGTCTTTGAGTGACGCTATAGTGACCTTGATAATGTTTACCCACGAACTAGGACTAAATGATTGTTATAAACTAGTTGTGAGTAATTAAAATTATGGTTTATAGTTGATGGTTAGGGTTAGAATTTGAATTTAGGGTTTTCATCACGAGCTGACACCCGCTAAAATGCCAAAACTCTATTTAGCCAAATGGGTGAATAAATCTTGCTCTAAAGTTCAAGACCTGTCATCTTATATCTGATTGGTTCGTCCATAAATTATAGTCTCACCTCCACTACTTTTAACACTATTTCTAATACTGTTCTCATTTTTTTGATTGCCTCTCACTAAGCTAACGTTAGATGTGGCAATTTAGACTGTAAACCATTGATCGTTACTAGTATTAAGTAATCGATGACATTGGGTAAGGATCGTTAATAAATTGAAGCTATGATTTTGGACGATTTGATTACAGTTAATGTTTTGAAGGTTTCTTATTCTGCGAAATATGAAAGTATTAGGTAGTTCGATTTTGTGTATTTTGCTAAGTGCTTATTATAGACAACTACAACTATCTTTGGATTCCTGGTTTTCAGTGATATTCCAACTGATATCAATTCGTCAAGAAAATCATATCTGTACTATTCAAATTCTTGATATATGTTTGACAAACTGTTTTACTAAATTTCGAATCTACATTATTCACGATTTTGATATATAATTATAGTAATAGGCGATCCAAGTTTTCACAATATTACCTTGACTGATAAATTATGTTTAGAAATTTTTAAATAAATTCATTCATTATCTGTTCAGAACTTCGTTCAAACAAGTTATAACATTTAAATTACGAATCATTCAGTTCAATAATTTAGTTATATAAGTTTATTATTATTTATCAGAAGGGGTTCTGTGGAGATTTTAGTAATTTCAATAGTTGAAATCGTGGGTCAATTGAAACTAAATCACCATGGAAAACCTCGAAGCACTGAACGGCAGTTCGTCCTCAGCATTGCGCATCCACTCATGATTTCAACTATCGAACTTACTAAAATCTCCACAAAACTCCTTCTGATAATAATCATCTGCTCATTAGTGACTGACTTCAAGAGACATTTCCTGGAGTCTTGTGAAAAGCCGTGACCAGTGGAGTTCACCCAGGTCTGTTGTGAGATGTCAAGTCGCTGAAGAAAATGGTGTACGGTGACGCAATTTCGTGGATTGGTTGAAGCTAGACATTAACACCGTTGGGTGCCGGCTCAGTGGTCTAGTGGTTAAGTGCCCTCGCGCGAGACTGATGTGTCCTGGGTTGGAATCTCGCAGGGGGGGCTGGATCGTGGATGCGCACTCCTGAGGAGTCCCACAACAGGACGAAACGGCCGTCCAGTGCTTCCAGATTTTCCATAGTGGTCTAGCTTCAATTGACTCATGATTTCAACTATCGTAATTAATATTTATTTACGTCGACCAATTTATTCAACTGTTTTTCTCACATCTTATTTTAATTCAGGTATCATATAAGAAGTTGGATTATGAATTTAAAAAAGAATCACTCAATTTACCCAATATCATACATTCATTAACTGTAAGTTAATTATTATTAGATGGTTAGTTGAGATGCATTAATTCAGTTCTAGTTATGCATATTCTATACTGTGGATTATAGTTAATTTTTGAAAGGGATAATATGATAATTGTATGGATTTATCCTTTTTGGCTTTATATATTTCTACTTCTAAATAAGTAGTTGATTATTCTTTGTATACTTTTCACTCTCCAGTTTTCTTTTCTTTTCATTTTAAGCACATTCCTTATGTTCTAGTTTCTAATGATATAAACACTATTATTTCTTCATCTTATTTTGTTAATTTCCACTGTGCATGTATTTGCAAATGAAAATCACTCAGATGAATGTTAATAGTATTTTTGTTTCCTTTAAGAACGAACTGGTTGAATTGGATATGTTTTAATAATTGATTAGTTGATAATAGTCAATGCTAATCCAGTTCCATCGATCAATTTTTAATATGGCTACTAATCTAGGTGATCTCGTCACCACACTTAAGCTATTTATCTCGTAAAACACGATTCTAATAAAAAAAATTAACTATTTCATAAAACAAGGAGTTCTGACTTACATATTCTTGAAAACAACTGGTTAGTGTTATTTTATCACTCAAACTACATTCTTTGCTCAGAAATTTCACTTTGTCTATCTTCTGGCAAAATAATACACAGTTATATTAAAGTATATACTCATGAAGTAATATACAAAAGCCATAAGATACCTTGTATAGCACACATATTATATGAAGATGTTTTGAGGTTAGCACTGAACAAAAACCTTTGCAGTTGAAGAGATATGGTTATTAATCAGCGTTGTAAGGATACATACCTGCAAGATTCCTGTGTTTCTCTTATTATATTTCTCTGCTGTATCAAACGTATTTCGTGAAACATGGGATCATTTCATAAATTCATTAACAATTAATTTTTGGATGAATGAACGAAAGTAAAGATTACACAAGCAGAAAAAACCTGATTAACTGTATTATGAAAATGTTCAAATTTTGAACGATCCTATATATTGATCGACGCTGATAATCGTACATTTCTTTAACAGTAAACCTGGATATCCTTTTACAATTTTCAGATTAGTAGGCTGTAGGCTTTATTCATTCTGTGTTGGTTTCTTCCAACTTTATATTACAAGCAAGATACTCGTTCAACATGTGTACTGTCATATTTATTGATATAAACTAATAGAAAGTATTTGTACTAGTTTGGCGACGGGGATGGGATTCGAACCCACGCGGGGAAACCCCAATAAATTAGCGAATTTGGCGACGGTGGTTTTGGAAACATGGACCCTTCTAAACTTAAATTATTACTCGAGCAGCAGATGAAACTTGTTCAGATGTTAGCAGATGTAAAATTTACGTCTGATACTCAACCAAGCAGTTCTAATCTTACTACTACTGCACCATCAGTTGATAGTATCGCTAACAGTTTCTCCGAGTTTCATTACGATCCGGAATCCAATGTCACGTTTGATATGTGATTTCGACGTTACGAAGACTTATTCAAGTTTGACTTTGCTAATCAGGATAATGCTTGGATGGTCCGTTTGCTGCTTTGAAAATTGGGTCCTAGTGGACTAGACAGGTCTTGTAACCTAATTCTGCCTCTAAACCCACACGATCACTCATTCTCTGACACTGTTCAGCCATTGAGCCAACAAGATGCAAGTCGATCACAGGAAAGTACACTATTACAAAGGGGAGGTGTGTTGGGGACGTTAGATCCTCATAACTCACTTGAAAAAGGATTTAACTTTGTAATTTTATTTATAAGATTCGAATTTCTTTGTTTTCGCGCCAAGAGCGCTATTGTCACCTTCATGTCGTATTTCCCACTGGGAAATGTCTTAAATGCTATTGGTCCGTTGCATCTTTTAGTATGCTATTTGGTAACTCTCCTCAAGGACGGTTTTGTGTTGTATATATACGTTTTGATTTGTGTTTGTTGTTGTCGCTCGTCTCTGGCTGTTTGCGGAATATACTTCCGCATTTCAAGCTTGGACTTCTTCCTCTAGTTAGCGTGACTGGGATGCATCGAATAGCTAGCTTACTGGTCTTTGGTCATCGAGCCTTTGTTCTCGTTTGCAGATTACGTGAACTCGTGATAGCTTCAACCCTATCAACTAGGAGCATCAGTAAAAAGTTTACTTTTCTTCCCAGCATCCTACTCATGACGCTTTATTACTTATTCATGTGTTCCATTAAATCGCCAACTATACCGGGATGTTGAAATTGATCTCATGCCACTATTAATTTATCATTTTTAATACTTAGCTCTAATAGGTTTTTCATATCAAATTTGATATCTGTTTATTTTTGGCCGATAAACCTGTTACTTTTATCTCTGACGAATATTGTTCGTTTTTTTTTCAATTTTAATTCCGTTATGTAATAATAAACATAATCATTGGTAATTAGAGAGAAAAATTCCTTTTTTTGGGTTATATTTTGACAGTTAATAATTTCAATATTTAAGAAATCTGTCTGAATTCATCCTAATTAAAAAAAAACTATTATTTCTTTTTCCTTTATTTTCATATGTTTGTTGTGATTTGTGTGGACGCGGGGCTGGGCGGTACGGCTATATACATGTACATGGGTTATTATTATTATTATTCAAATATTCACATCTGTATACAAGCCTGTCGATGCAATGAAGTCACAGAATCCAATTAAATCATACCGTAAGAACATTTGTACCAGTAAAAAGGTACTTTGGTCTAATCTAGCAGATGATAATTACAATGAGTAAGTTGAATGATCAACATTGACATCATTGTTTCATATTATAAGTGATAATTTGGTAGTTGTATTTAATCATTGTTCCTTATTGCCTATTCATGTCATATATATTATTTCTTCCCTTTACCTCACCATGTTCCATATTAATCAGTATATGATAATTTAAGGTATATCTCTATGAGAATTCTGACGTAGACCAAATGTAAATTGTCAAGATTTATCAATAATATAAAATTCTATATCTCGAAATGAAGATAATAATTGATTACTTTGATTGAACATACTCTAGTTTGATTTGTATTATACTACTATTAGATAAACGGAAATTGCGTTTGTGATGCTTATTGAGAGAGTTATTGTTTTCAAGTTAACATGCTGCTTAGGATATATCCATGTAATAAACTGTAACTTTCATTCTGTATATACGCTTTATTGTACTGCTTATCTGCTTAGACTGGAATAAATACTTTGAATCCAATGTGTTGATATTTTCATTGGTTAACTCTAACAGGAGCGTTTTTACCACTAATTTATTATCAGTTTTAATTCTTTATTCAAAACCAACCAGTGCTGAATAACCATCTGCAATAATTTATGTTGGTGTGTAAGTTAATCCGCTTAATTTATAGCTTACTATTATAAAGCGTAGTTCATTTGTTAAAGAGTTTTAACTTCTTTTGATTTCACCGATAACTTATGCAATCAATAAATTAACGTTCCAGTGCAGCGAATGGTAACACTGCGTTGATAAAAATATTTGAAAAATTCAAGGCCAACAAATTAGTTATAAGTTGACATAAAATCGGTCCACTCATTGTTATCAGTAGTGTTCGAAAAAGGAAAAATTTTGTGGAAAATAAGTTTTAAAGCTAATAGTGTTCGGTGTTCTTGACTTATTAAGGTTCTGAATTTGGTGTTGGTTGACAGAAGTTTTGAGTTGCAGATGCCCTTCAGTTGTAAATTTGTTGCTCTTGCTTTGCCGATCCGCGCTTTCACATCTGCATCAGATCCACCATGTTCATCAATGATGCTACCCAAATATGTAAAGGTTTTTACTGATAGACTGAGCACCTGGGAACAATCTACTGTTTTTAAGTTACCATTTATTTGTTGACTAATAATCCTCAGATAATTAAAATAACCCGTAGTGTCATTGAATAAGAGAAAGAGAATTCAACGGAGAAACTTTTCTTTTCGACGAAATGATTTACTTAAGCTGTACATTCGTTATTTTGTTATTTTTTTCTCGAATCCATTTTTGTGACGCAATCTTTTCTATCCTCCTACAGACATATATTTTCTATATGACTATTAATCCACATCCGAAGTGGGAGTGGCGTTGGTTCTCAAAGACCTCTGGGAGTTTTTATTTTAAGATGGTCAGATGAATATGTCGTTTTTCGTCAAAAAAGAAGAGGGTTTTTCACTGATAATTTTCTGATGTAACCAGTTCACTTTCAACCACTAGGTTGCTAGTTTGAAGCCAACTATGCTTTTAGTTTAGGTAACTGAGCAGTATCATTAGCCTTAGTACAGAGTATGGCTCGAAGCGGAACACATAACCTGATGACTAAGCCAAGTGTGAGATTTTAATAAATACAAAGATATCCAACAAAAATCCTCTCTGTTTAAAATCAGGTATTCGACACTTCTGAAGTATAACAAACAAAAAAAGCTGCATAAATGGAAATGTTGCTGGTAATTTCCAATCATTTCCTGTAGTAATTTTTATTTGTGATTCAGAGTGGTTCTACACTTTATCTCAGAACTCTTTTTTAATTGTTCATGATAAACCTTTTCATAATAATCTGTTGTAACTTATGGCCTGTGTGCCCTGTTAATGTATAACGTAATGATACTGCCAATTAGAGAGCAGTGAATCATCGATCGGACCAATGATGCATGAAAACCTGTATGAGCAGTATAGAGTCCTTATTGGTCCATTCTTCCTGCTTAGCCCAGCTATTTAAGTCCAGAACACAAATCTCAGCCTCTGCGATATGATTATGAATAGTTTAGTTACTTAACAATTATACGATAAAAATATACGCATAGTATTAGTTCATAAATGGATCCTAAAAGTTACCATTCATTATGCTTATCGGGGCATAACATAACCATTTATCTTACATATCCTATGGCTTCTTTGTGTATATGTTTGCACATATCATTCCTTTTTCAACCTGTTTAGGGTTATCGGAACATATTATACTGGTCGTTTAGCGGAATTGGAATACACTCACATGAATAAAGTAAATGACTATTGGCTCAGTCGCATGAACGAAGGACAATCATGTAATTATCCTGTTTGTCTGTCAGACATTATTCGTGGACCGGCGTTAGAGGCCACTTCATGGCCAAGTATAAAATCTGTAAGCTTAGTGTATTTATAAAGATTCATGGTTGTTATTCAAATGTCCAAACCATCAGTTCTTACATGATATACTTTTTTGGCTTTTTTTCTGAGCAGTAACATGTCAGTTCAAATTTGCCAACTTGTGGTTCGGAATTGGAAATTATTTGTTCTTTACCCATTTGCTGAATGTTCCTTTTATATTTGCTTTCGGCTCAATAGAAACCTCAGAATATTACCTGATGTATTTATTCATTCTGCTTTATAACCAAGCATATATTTAAGAAGGATCATTGAATACACTTTAGAAGAGCTTTTCAATTGATATGTTGAAACTATCAGTAATGAATTCTTGAGATTGTAAAGTCCCCCTAACTATTAAAATATTTAATCTTGAATTTCTTAAATGAAAATCTCCATACAATTAATACATTGTCGAATGCATATTCAGTGTATATTTTGTATTTAACACGTTGCACTATTGTAATACCAAATACGTATGTCATTCACTTCTTTTCCGCTTATCATTCCATTGTGATCAGGCAATTCGATTAAGACCGTCGAAAAATGATATGTTGTTAGTGGAAGATCCGAATACTGGAATTAGTAAATGGCTCATCAATCCTCATACAACTGATTACTTAGTCGGTTCAGCTAGTCTTGCAGCTTTTTCGGGTGAGTATTCTTGCAATATGAATGTTTGTTGGTGTGTATATTTTTGTCATCCATACAACTGTCAATAATTGCTTTTCTATTTAAAATTTTTGATGTATTTACGTTTGTAGATCGGTATTCTCTAACTAGTTTAATAATTCTCATTGAATTTTCATTATGGGGTTGTGTAGATTATCAGATTTCAATTAAATTATAAAACTAACATGTTCTCTTTCGTGGATAGCTTCGAGGAAAAATGTTCAAAGTTCTAGTGAGAGGCCGTGGGAAGTGTGGGGTTCGAAGCAGTTACCCATCGAAGACAATTGAAGATGATCGTGCAGTGTCGTGGATGCCAGCTCAATGGTCTCACGGTAGAGTCCTGGATCCAATTCCCGCGTGTGGGATTGCGGATGCGCACTGCTGAAAAATTCTATACTAGGACGAAACTACAGTTCAGAGCTTCCGGATTTTTAACGGTGGTCTAACTTAGATTGGGTCATGATTTCAATGAAGTTCTTATTAACATGATCCTTATGTTCTGTGACTGATATCATTCTGTGATATATATTTGTTTATATATATTTTTTCTGTGATTTCCATGAACTTATTACTTTATTAAGGGTTAATCTAGATATTCACTTATCTGCTTTTTGAATCTGTCTGGTGGTAATAGATGTGATATGGGAAGAGAAAGCTATTGTTTGATCGTTGTGATACAGTCTAGTGTGAATTAGTTTAAAGAGAAAAGTACGTTTTTGGCATAAACATAATCACATCAATAGACAAACTTAAAATTAGTCAGGGACAAACCATTATTGGTTCAGTTTGAAATGATTCTAATAAAAACTGATAACTACTGCGCAAGTAAATGGCTACCTAGAATCAGTAGCTTAGTGGAGAAACGCGATGGGGTTTGAAGCGAACTGTATGGGATTGGAGTCCCGTAGTGAACATTTCTGGGGCGCAGTTACATCCCGTTGAAGAATCTCAGACAGGGCAAAACATGCGTCCTGAATTCCATTGGTGGTTTGATTTAAAAAATGCAGAACTTTTTTTCAATGAACATTTGAAACGTATATAGTCGAAGCAATCTATTAAATAGATAGGTTATTCATTTTTTGCTTAAGTTATTACCCAGAATATTTCCCTCGTCCTAGACCCATAAACGTTTAATTAATATGATCATGTTTCAGATAGTTGAAATTTCAATGCAGGGTTTAACTGATTATTGTTTTATGTTTTGTTCCCTGTTAGATTTTAACATTTTCTCAGTCTCATGAATGTTTATTGATTGCCACTATTTGTCATAGTCTAAATTTGCTTCTACTCATATTTCTTAATTCATCTTAATTTCTTCGCATTGGTCACCTCTATCAATTAATTCTGTTTTTTTTTCTTGCCAAAAATCACTCTTTAGCTTATCTTATGCTTCATAGAGCTAATCTGTTCACTAATTCATATTTACGCCTCGTTTCTAAAGGATCTGTTTATATCAGTGACAATGGAAATGGTAAATATGTTTATACGTATATTTTTAAAGTCATTGTTGATGTTTATTGCTGTTGGTTTTCTTTTCCTTTTATCATACATAATGTAATATGAATAATTTTTTTCCGATTACATTCATTATTCTTTAGAACATGTTGTCGAACTTGACTTCTTTGCTAATTTTGTTGGATTCATTCTAACAGTCAGGTCTTAATATCAATATTCATATCCAATAATCGTTTATGATGTCTCACGTTTGATTTTATATTCCTAGTTTATAAATAGGGATGTTATTTTGTCAGAAAAAAAAGACCTGTCCATTTGAGTATTGGCATTACCTTTGGTTTCAGTTCATTCAGGAGTTTGCGTTAATAATGATGCAGTATTGTGAGTTGTTATCGTTCGGACACATCATATCATAAAATTTCATCTGTCAATCACTATTATGTCCATTTGTTTTGACAGTACCTAAACTGTGGATTATTCGTCACGTCATAACCGACTTGTGTCAGGAGCCCACTAGAATTCTTCGGAAAAGTTTCTAGAGGTTGCGGAAAGGCTGACGATACGTCGTTCAATCGGCGTCCAACAGAGACGCCCTAGACAATTCTGAATTAACGATAAATTAGGTGATTTATCCCAACCGGATAATTATAGATTTATTTACTGTTTTAGGATATTTTCAGAAGTTCGTAGACTCTTAGTCTCACACATAAGTCTATAAATATCCTTGTTTACTGTAACGAAACTAACATTGGAAGTTAAACTCTGCACACTTGCAGATTTTCTGTTTTTTGCTCTCAGTCCAAATATAGGACAGTTTTGGAAGACTAAGAAAAGGTTAAAAAGTCACCATCAAGCGTTTAAGCATCAAATCTACCAACAATAAGTTTATTTAAGATACACGTTTTGTCTCAATCAACAAAATGTTTCCAGCAGAACAGTTACTAAATACTTTCAGGTTTGGAACTATATCAGCGAGATGGGTTTGAATTACACTATTTTATCCTAAAGGCTTTTCAGATATGAGTAAAACAATACTTTTAAATAATTTATTTTTTCAAATACTGAATATTGGTGCCCAATAACTTTCAAAATTATAGTCACGTATCTTATTAATTCACTGTTTCTTTACCATGATTTCGATCACAATATTTTACCATGTGTCTTTAGGTCTAACTTTCGGTTAATTCAATATCAACATGTGTGTAAGATAATTTTTGAAATACAGAAGGTAGCTTTATCATTCCAATTTTCAAAGACTCGATATGTTTATGTAGCACTAGTAATTTCATATTTTATCTGATCGAAGTTAACTTGTTCGTTCTGGAAAAGTATAAATGTTAAAATTTCAGTATTTTTTATGACTTATTCTATCATGTCACTACTTATTTACTGGTTTTATGTGTTCGTATATTACGATATAGTGATCAATCACTGACATGATAAATAAATTTCAGAACAGATTATTTTAGAATAAATCTTAGTCAATCGTTAATGTATTGAGTAAATGGTACAGTGAATATTCAAATGAACTACAGTATTTGATCAGTCTACACATACAGATTGCTGGGTGGGTTTTATGAAAGTTTTATTTGTACTTAAAGTACTTTAAAGTTACTTTCACCACCAAAGTGGCTTGATCAAAAGTAGAGTTGCGCAGCTGTTAAATAAGCAGTATTACCATGATTTCTATAAAATATTAGGGTAATAAACTATTGCCGGCATCAAGAATACCAAAGACATGAATAGTTGAAAATATTTATAGTTTTAGTTGATTTATAGGTAATTGACTGGGTCCTCAGCTTTCCTGATGTAATCCTCTCTATCCATTCTTTTTATGCCCTTGTTACGTTGGTGATAATTTAAATGTATTATTCAAAAAATTATTCTGTTGGTTATGTATATGGATATTGATTTCTTTTTAAACAGACATTACTCATAATTTATCTGGTGATCAAACTATTCAACCCAGTTTCAAATCCCCTTTTCATCAATCCAAACAGGTTAGTGAATAGGCATATGTTACTAATTTCGTAGTTTGTCATCACCAGTGGTCAAACCTTCTAAGGAATTATTTGACTGATAAATAATCAATTGTGAAAAGTATACGTATCACATAACGTCATATCTTTTGCCGAAATATTTAATTTTAATCTAAATTCCACTTTGTTAATAAAAGAAGTCATTAATGATTTATTTATTTATAATTCAGTGATTTGTCATGCATTCGTGTAACCCTCCTATTTTAATCTATAAATAATTTAGATAGATATGTGTTAAAAGCTTTCAAGATTAAAACAAATATAATATTGGGTACTTTTGAGTTTTTAGTGATCATTTAACTAGTGTTATTTCACTGAAATGTCTTATATTTTTGACTGTTTTTATTACGTGGCTAATGTAATATCAGTTTTTCTGATGTTTAGTGTTAATGTACGCATTAAAATTCTAGAGTATCTTATAAAAATGGTTTTTATTTTACTAAATGGATGATCATTAAGAAATTTAGAAGGAGATTATATCGGTGAAAATCTTGACGTTTAAACTTTAAATAAACCCAACGTTTTGCTTAGAATTATGATCCAAACTTTTTCAAGGGAAATAATCAAACATAACTATCGAATGTAAGTACATAGTTCATAGGTTAACTTTATATTGAACAAATCGTCGCGTAATATCGTGAATTGATTAAATTTAGATACTAATACTGTATGATGCTGGCTCAACAGTTTAAAGGTTAAGGTTCGCACATGGGATCGAAGGTCCTGGATTTGATTCCTGAAAGCGCGGTCGTGGGTGATTAGAAAATATTCTTACTATACCTCTACAAATTGATATCTGGACAAACATTTACTTTAAATATGAGTATTCACGATCTTCCTGTTTTAATGGTCATAGGAATCAGTCTTGTAAAAATTCTTCCAGTGCAGCGAATGAGTTTTTTACTAGGCACAATATTTTTCGGTTCTGTTTCTTTACGCATAAATCGGCACTAACATATACTTTCTTAAGTATAAATCTTAAGTACAAATCTTCGTTTTGCAGATATCTCTCCTTGAGCTTTCGAAAGATTGGAATCAATGTGAAGCTGGTTTTCACGTTTTAGTTGATGAGTTATTCAGATTTTGGCAACATTATCAACCAGGCTGGTCATACAAGTAACATTTTGATTGACTATGTATTTTTCTTTCTTTCTGAATATGTGTGTATAGTTTGTAAACATTGAAAAATTTTGTAATTATGTGAATAAATAATATGAGATTGTATGAATCATATAGGAATATGATTCGATACACATTTTGGATATACCCTATGGTGTTAATTGAATGATTATTACTTCTTCATTCTTTTCATTGTGAATAAAATAAATATTTATATATCAAGCTAAGAAATAGATCATTTTCCAAATTCATCCACTTTATGTTATTCTAATTTGATTATCACACACTGTCATCAGTTAGGATATAGTTCACGTCAAACTTGTTCACAACTTCCCAATATAAATTTTAGACAATTAATCTCATAGCAAATGATTAATGACAAGCTTCATTGTCATTCAGTTTGGCGTTTGAAAAAGGTTGTATAGTTCACATAGATATTATACTTTAGATATGATATCATTTAGATTCAATTTAATGAACTACAGAGAAAATACTACTCATTATTTATAAGTATACTATTTTGTGCTATTTGAAGAAATTCATGACAGTCATGACGGATTCCGCTTCCATAAGTTCGGATTTTATATACTACTTGTTAATGTATTTGTTGTAAGTATTTAATCACTTGTCCGAAAGTTAATTAAATAACCTTTGGAAACTTATTCGCAACTATTTTTTTTCACATGAATATTTTCTCACAGTTCGCTAAAAACATTTCCCTTCATTCTGTCATTTATTATTTGTATTTGTTATTTTATTGCTTTCTTATTAAATTAACTTCCGAATCTGATGTAATAATAAATAGTCAATTCAACATAATATACACTCATGTTTATGTATGTCAAAGTCTGCTCATGCTGCTTTCATGGTATTAGTAAGATTATTATTATTATTATTGTTACTATGGCAGTGTTAGTCATGATAGATACAACTTTAGTAGATATCATTCATATACTTAAATAAATATGAACATATGTATACTGTATTGCCTAAAAGATTATGATTGTCTACTAATTTGTCAATCATTTGGTTAGTTTAAGATCATTACGTTGATAATAATAATAATAATAATAATAATAAGATGCGAGTCAGTAGACTATTCCTACTCCATACTATAAAGTATAACTGACATTTTAATTTTTGACATGTAGACATTAACCTATCAGGCAATTTTATATCAGATGTGATACATTATACATATATACCTCACAAATCACCAATGTCTAAAGAACAAACAAAAACAATGGAGCAAATTTCATTCAAATGTAACCTACGAAAACATTTTATACTTTTCTTTTGGTCAAAGGTTTAATTGTGTTAGGAACCGTCAATCTTTGCACAGAATAACTAAAATTGGTCACTTAAAATTGTTGTTTATTGTTCTAGAATATTTTTCATATTATGTGTGTATAACAGTGATCAGATAAAGCAGCAAAATGTTCGATGTAATATTGAAACATTTAGTCGTAGGGTCGATTTAAAGTTCAGTTGTCTTCGATTTCATAAACCCACTAACCAGTCGAATTTGTTTTGTTCTCTAATATTTTACACACGCACATCGTGATTTGAATATATGTTATAATTTGTCTATACTTCAACCTTAATTGCATGTTTTAACTGGACACTAGGCTGTACACTGCGTCAAATCTCGAATAATAATACTTATTAATTGGTATCAGACAGCACCCAGTTTGGGCCAGTCGAATTGTGTTTTAAGTCATACAAACTCTTTTTTGTTAGCCCAATGACGCCTTATGGTTATTAAGTTCACTATCAACCCCAACGATCATTAATTTGCAGTCAAAGGGATGGACCTTATGTTTAGTACACGTACATGGTGTGTGTTTTACAACAGTGTGGTCGGAGACTTTTGTTGATAATGCTCAGAATTGTTCACAATGATGCATATATATTTTCTATTCGACCACAAGTTTCGGTATTCTCCTAGATATACCTTTGCATTCTGTCTTTTCGAACCACAACGTTCAGTCTTTCTCATCATTGTTACTATATATATGTACTATACTTTGGGTTGAAGATGACTGAATGTGTTTTAAAATGGGATTATTCTTAGTATTACAATTCTATGGACTTAGTTTTACTACTTGTTATAAGACCAAAATAGTCCTAACAACCTGCATTTTCGAATATTTCCAGATTGACTTATACTGAGGCTCCCAATTTATATGCATGTGAAATGTTACGTGCTGTTTTGTATACCGACATGAAGACATCAAGTGATATCGAGATTTCCATTCCTGTAAGTCTTTTCTGTTTGTTTTGATAGTGTATAATTGCTAGTAGAAATATTGTCCCCGTAAATTTCTATTAAAAATGCTTTGATTAATATGAAAACTGTTTTATGTGATTTAAGGTTTTATTCTTTACTGACCTCAGTTTAAAATGATAAATTACCGTATTACGTGCGTTTTTCAACATCATATTGTGCATAAGTCTGTTTGTTTATGGGATTCCATCTTTCAGTCTTCTTTATAAAAGAGTCAATAATAGTTTTAACTGGTTAATATTAGATGATATAGGGTTGTTAGTGTAAATGTATACATTACACATAATGTTAATTTGTCACTCTAGTAGATGTTATTGAATTCATCTGACCTGTATTATGTATTGGATTACAACAACAGTAATGAAAATTTCTTAAATATTATCGTTTAATTTTTATGAGAATCCATATGTTTTAAACAATTTAGTAAGAAATTGCACAGGTTACTTGTAAGTAGTATGTATGTAGAGTACAAAACTAAATAGGTTTTTATCTGCCGTTAACTAATAATGGTGCTGATTAGTATCTCATGATTTACTATGATCTGTAACTTGACTTATTCATCTGCTCGATCTCATGACATTGAAATAGGTAAGGAAAAAAGATTGATTATAATAAAACGAACATATTTCGAGAAAATATTTAGGAATAATTTATCTTACAGTTGATTTAATCTATTTTCCTAATTTCACCATACAAATATCCATCTGTGCTAATTTCATTTTACATAATACTATATAGTTCTTGCATTCATTAACGTTATCTCTTCATTTTAACTGAAGTAGTGTTGATATTTTATCAGTCAATATATTAATATATAAATTTACTAAATGTATCAATATCAGATGTATAGATGTACAGATACTTATTGAACCAAGCATGATTCTCTTTATTTTTCTAGTTTATTGTCACTATGTGTTACTAATGTATATCAACAATCCTCATACCAAACTGACTGCATCAGAATTATTATTATTATCATTATGACTTCTTCGTTATTCTGAATGGTTGGTTAGTAGTGAAAATAGTTGTTTCTCATCTATGAAGGTTACATCTTTCAATAAATCTTGCTTTTCAATTTTCAATGCCTGAGTAGATTGAGAATATTCTTAACAAAAATTAGTATTGTGAACTTGTTACGTCTTGTTTTTAAGGAATGGACGTAGCTGTTTTTTAGACAAGTTTTTGCTCCAGGCTGTATCTCTTTCCTCCTTTGTAAACATTATTCTAATCAAACTATTTATTATTAGATTTTTAGTTCTTTACACTGTTTATTTTATAGTTGTATTATGGTGTAACTTAACTATTCATTATTTTGTCGATTAAAACGTTTCGATATTACATCACTGATAGATATATTCATGAACAGTGAAGCTTCGGCCATTTGTGTAGATCTATTTGATAGTGTAATACTTTCGCAGACATCATTCATTGTTTATATATATTGTGGCTTATCGGTTATGAAATGGAGGATGCAACGTAATTATTTACAGCAACCAACCAGATTCCAGGTTAACAAAAGAAAATTTTAGTCTATTGTAGATGAGAAACTCTGCTAGCCCATTTCTTCTTGAAGTATGTACTAATCAATTCATCTGACAAAAGCAAACAAACAATAAAAACTTCATAACTGAACCATCCGGATTATACAATTAAATACTTATTGAAATTGTTATCAACTATTAGTTTGTTCCACAAAGTAATGGTTATCCTTTCATCACCTCTTAAACTTACAATTTATCATTCTACAATATATTCCTATCATATCTATTCATAAATATATGAATCTAAAAAGGACCACATTCCTTACATTTTCTATGAATTGAAATTTATCTTTCGTTCTCTTGTTTCTCCGTTTTACATCATGGATTATGCGTTATAATGTCGTAACATTATTGTTATTTTTTAAAATTTATTTTTCTCTTTGTCGTCAAAATAATTTTTCTTCTTCTTGAAAATAATTATATAACTAAAATATAATTTATTACTGTAAACTTGTTAGTAGTAGATGATATGATAGAAATCAATTAGTGTAATATTCATTATCTTTGTAATGATTTTTGTATCTTTATTGAATATGATTAAATGGGTTGTTCACTTCACAAACTGATAATTTCGGTCGAATTCAATTATTATTATTATTTTAAATTGTCTGTAAGAATAAGATGAAGGGTTAACATTGTAAAAGATGAGATACTGTTATACTATCTCATTGAAATACCAATTACTTTCATTGAACAAACATTAGATCGTATAGTTTCCTATTGTATGGTTATTATCAATCGAAAGTCTTTGATATTTTAGTCAGATAAAGTATCATACAAAATCAATTATCAGTATGGGGGTTGTGGAGATTGTTAAGTTTTTGGTTGAGATCATGAATCAATTGATGTTAGACCACCGTCGGAAACCTGGAAGCACTGGACGGCCGTTTCGTCCTAGTATGGGACTTTATGTACATGTAAAGATGTATCTTTGTTGCTTGTAATTATTGTAAAAAATGATGTATATGTTTATGTTATTCGGATTTTTTTTTGCTAGGCCGTCTATAGTTGAGGTGTCTATTAACTCAGTTAATACTTATTACCTATAAACGTTTACTTACCTTGTTTTTTTTATGTGACTAATAATCCTATTCCCAAATATACGACCATCTATTTTCTTTTCTTCTCCCAAATTTTACAGCTTGCTTCAGTTTCTTTAATGGGCGATTGGATTTCAAGACGAATTATAACCAAACTTAAGAAAAGTGATAAAATCAATAGAGATTGCGAATCATATCCTTATATGGTAATCATAATAATAGTGTTTTTGATTTCATTTTTGTTGTTATGCGATTCGTCTTTTTGATGTTAATGTGTTGTTCTGATTTCAAAGAATGATTTTTGTCCACTATCGGTTGAGGTTTTGGAATACATTATCAGGAAATTTATAGTGAGTGTACATTGTTCCTCGTGTAGTAAATACTACTAACACTATTATTTGTGGCAGAATATGGTGTGGAAGTTGTTATAGTCGACGGACGGACAGAATAGTTTCAGTACATCAAGAAGCATGGTTAAGACAGTAGCTTGGAGCCCAGAAGAGAAGATAATATAGAACCAACTGGATCGCAGAACACCCCGCAAACGCAAATTGATGACTGAAGGGTAGATGTATAGACTACATAAACACTGTAATTTCTTTAAATTAACATTACTTCTACCCAGTGGATACAATATACAAAAACGTTCCATATTATTTGCTTAGATCAAGTCCTTTTTCGATGGTTCGAATTACTGAACTAGGATTTAGTGGTTCATTTTTTCCCTCTAATTAGATACATTATATTGTCGCATGACTGGATGATCTTGCATCATTGATCTAAATTCTGTTAATTAAGTTAAAAAAGACCTATAGTCTAATATTTTCCTATTCTATTGAACAAATAGACAATTCAAACACCGGTGATGATTTTAGTAATTATTAGTTACTATGTCCTGGTACGACCGAGAGTGGGGAGAGTTCGCCTGATGAAAAGCGACAACAAATCTGATCTAGGTTAAGCAAAAGTCTAAGGAACGACCGTGAGCAGTGGTGGGCAACGAAAGCAAAAGAGACGGGAAAAGCGGCGGCTATAGTGAACACAAGACAGCTCTGCAGACTAATAAAAGAAACTGGAATTAATAAGTCAAGCGTAAGTGAGATTATTTCGGAAAAAGACGACACCCTCATCTGCTCTCAGTCCAGACGTTTAGAACGATGGGCGGAACATTTTAGAGAACGTTTCAACTGGCCTTCAACTACTCTACAACTACCCTCCATTCCCAGACAATATGAATGGAATATTGAAGTAGGTCCCCCAACTCTTGCTGAAGTTCAAAAGGCTATAGTTAATCTGAAACGAGGAAGGGCAGCTGGTTCAGATGGATTGACTGCAGAAATCTTTAAGGATGGTGGTCCAATATTAGCGATCAGGTTGACTAATATTTTAGCTAAGATCTGGGAGTTAGACGTTATCCCATCTGACTGGTCGCAATTACTTATCGTCGCAATGTATAGGAAAGGTTCAAAATCATCCTGTGACAACCACAGAGGGATTAGTTTAACTAATATAGTATCGAAAATACTAGCCTCGATAATTATCAGACGCTTGACTAAGACTCGTGAACTGCAAACACGAGAGAATCAAGCTGGCTTCAGACCTGGTCGTGGCTGCATCGACCACATATTCACCAGTCGCCAGGTTCTAGAACATAGGCATACTTATCGGCGTCCGGCAATGTTGGTCTTTCTTGACTTAAAAGCAGCATTTGACTCGGTAGACCGCGAGATTCTGTGGCAGTATCTGTCATTGAAAGGCGCACCTCAAATGTACATAAACCTTGTAAAGGCTCTTTACTCGAACACTACTAGTCGAGTCAGGGCTTATGGCGAACTGTCATCTGCTTTTGCAACCTAAAGTAGTGTCCGTCAAGGCTGTCCACTTTCTCCATTTTTGTTTGACTTCATCATAGACCTACTGATGGAAATAACATTCTCGTCTACTGAATCCTCGAGTATTGATCTCTTTCCAGGAGAGGTCCACTTATCGACTTAGAATACGCAGATGACAGTCCTGCTTGGTGAAGACGCTGATAGAATGCAGAGTGTTTTGGTAGCACTGAGCAACAATGCCAGAATGTTTGGAATGTGCTTCTCTCCCTCTAAATGCAAGTTGTTGCTTCAGGACTGGTCTGCGTCAACACCTGAACTAAGGATAGGGAGTGAAGTGGTCGAACGCGTTGACAACTTCACTTATCTTATCTGATCAGCCCCAATGGGTTGGTGTCTGACGAAATCTCAGCACGGATTCGAAAAGCTCGTTTGGCTTTTGCCAACTTATGTCACCTATGGCGAAGGCGAGATATCCGTCTATCAATAAAAGGACGAGTATACTGCGCTGCAGTCCGTTCTGTTTTAATTTACGGCAGCAAAACATGGCCGTTAAGAGTAAAAGACACTTGTAGGCTACTAGTATTTGACCACAAATGCCTTAGAAAAATTGCTGGCGTCTGCTGGTATCACCGGTAAGTAATAGTGGGGTTAGACACAGGGTATTAGGAAATGATGGTAAATCAGTTGATGAGGTTGTTAATCTTCATCGACTGAGATGGTTGGGCCACGTGTTACGTATGCCTGAACACCGATTACCACGACGTGCAATGCTAACTGGTGTTCGGGATGGTTGGAAGAAAGTTCGGAGCCGTCAAACCAAAACGTGGCATCAGTGCTTGAAGTCACTAACTTCTAGTCTGAGCCATGTTGGTAGATGCAGACTACTTAGTTGGGGTCCGCGTGATTATCGTAACCACTGATTAGAGACTCTTGGTGACATGGCTCAGAATCGATCACGATGGCGTCGGTGTATACACTCTCTGTCTTCCCTTAAACTATGAGATTAAAATCGCTTCATATCTTTCTTTCTACATACTAAATCTTTCTTCCTGTACTATATCCTTATTGCAATCTTTCTTTTATATATTACCACCTCTGAATTAACTACTTTTATGTATCCGGTGTCTATCTTGTTGTGTTAATGAGGTATGGCAACTTGGACCGATACACATATGTGCCTGGTCCTACGTTGTAGCTGACTGACTGACTGACTGAGAGTTCGCCCTCCCTCTTGAAATGCTTTCACATGGCCACGCGTGTATAGCCTCTGCCAGGCAAGTCCTACTCACTGCCTTCTCGTGGCGGGGTAGTTGTTTACGAAATTGAGAGGACAAAAAGCGAATGTCTGGCGCTTTAATCGGGGTGGTGGACGCAGAGAGTCCACCCAGGGGAGTTGGAGAACCCCGATTCCAAACCAATGGTGCACGTGGGCTCCATTATCCTGAGGGACAAACTGGCGTATAAACCAATCATTGGTCACTGGCTACCATGGGACTGCATCTCCTGACGTTACTCCACTGCCTTGTGGATTAGACCGTTAGGTCGAAGGCTCAGGGTGTGGCCCCCTAAGAAAGCCACCTGTTCCGGTTTGGGCACCCGGGCAGTATCACAGCCCTCACACATATCAAATGAGATCTGTGTGGCGCATATGTATTTGATGCTTCTTTGTACCGATATCTATGTGTTAAAATAAATAAATAAAGTTACTATAAAAATTTCTTGTTAGTATTACTATAATACTGGTACTAAGAATATTTTAGCTATGAACCGTATTTACTATTTAGAAACAACTAATTGGTTTGAACTTTTAACAAGAATGATATATCACGCTGAACTACAATCATATTGAACAACAAGAAGAAGATTCCTCTGTTTTTGCAATTGGAATCAATAGATTTTACTGATTTACTGGTCTACGTGATTAACAATAATGATATATAACTGTTAAAAATCAACAGTTGTTGGAGTTATTACGAAAAAATTGTAGTGATCATATGATTTGATTTTTAGTCTACATTATGTATTTATAGCAACTGTTCAGTCCAACATGGATTCATCATATGCATATTCATCACTATTAGAACGAATAGTTTGACAAAAATTGGGCGCCGAGTATAGAGAATTCATTATATGTGAAAATTATATTTGAAAAAATCTCAGCGATCGAAATTTAAATAAGTCCAACATTCGGTTCATACGTCATTTGTTTCCCCAGAATCCTAGAGTCTATGTGCTCTATTGGCTTGGAATCAGGGTTTTCAAACTCCCGTACCTGGATCCTTGATATCTACCAACACGGTTAAAGTTTCGAACATTCGGTTTTCGTCCTCTTAATTTCGTAAACAACCCTTCCGCCGCAAGCAGGCAGTGAGTAGCACTTTCCTAGTAGTGGCTGAATACGCGTGGTCGTATGAGAGTATTTCGATAAGTAGAGCTGACTCTCCTCACCCTTGGTGATTATTCGTGTCATCGAAACTGCGATCTACACAATTTTCTAAAATTTCAAACTTATTGCAGTATCCATGTTCTTCAGTAACGAGGTTTCTCAAAAGTATTTGTACTTTCGTGGCATCATCTACCTTTCCAGTATTACTATGGGACACATTTTCATATTATTCAAATCATGAATCAAACTTTAGACCAGTCAAACTGCCTAATTAAATTTCATGAATTAAATTTCTAAGTAAGACTATATGAGTAGATACCCGAAACTCATCAGATGCAAATAATGGCTAAGATATAAAAGTCTTTTGTGTAAAAACTAGTAATTATCAACTGAACGTAAATAAATAATCTTATCTTCATACTCTAATAATCCTTTCACTTGTTCAAAGGAAATGGTCACTCTGAATTCCTTGTGTCATCAATTATTATATCTATTATTGGAAAAGTTTACGGAACTGACTTGGTTAACCATTTCTATGTTTTCACACAAAGCAAGAATTACAATATTTAAAGAATATGATTGATTCATCGTATTTCGTTGCTTTCTATTTGGGTACATACAGTCTAATATGTTTAAAAACCTAAAAACAAATCAGATGGTGAAAATACGATTGACGCTTGATTAGCGAAATTAACCTCATCATCAAAGTGAAAAGCTGTAGTTACCAGAGAATTTCGAGTTTTAGAAGACACTGGAATTAGGAATCCTTTGAGCGCACCAACTGATCATGTTGATGTATAAAACCTAATGGGAATTATTAGCGGCCCGAATTCGTTGATGTATTAGAAGCACCTTTCAGCCCCTCAGCAGTTATATGTAACAACCTTTAAAATCTCTTAGCGGATATTTCTTGTATCAAAATCCTAATGCATAACGTAAAATAGAATCATTCTAAACGATATTGTTCCTGCCTTACTGATTCATTTTCATTTAAATATCTTTATATACACCTTCGTACTCCACTTCAACTACAATGTCACCAAATTGTGTGAATATTGCATTCCATAGTTTTGAAACTCGTAATTCAAGTTTTCAAACCATAACTAATCGAACCGCTAGACATACATTGACAATTGGTTTTATGTAAAGTAAGTTTCTATCATTTTCTCTTTGTGAAATCACTATCTTAGTTGCTGTCAGCAAACATTTTTTTTCCATTATGCTCATGTAGGTGTTCATGAATGCATGGAACTTTCAATGTTTATTGGATTCATTTAAACAAATAGGGTATATGGACGAGTATTCATCTGTAAATATGGATTGAGTTATCTTCGTAATTTTTATCATCTAATTACCGTTTTTATTTCGTAAGAAAAATAACTAGGGGGTTTACATTCTTTGTATACAATAATCTGTGTATTATGTACCTTCTTTTGTAAATGTGTGGTATCTGAAATAAACGAATACTTATCACGATATCTTCTGTCAAAAGAATTCAGTGTTAGATTAGTTTGATTAGGTCAAGTTTTATGTTATTGTCGTAGAAATAACGTTCATTTGTTGCGAGCGGGGAGTAAACAACACGTGCTTTACCATTTCTGGCAACAGTAATCAAATAAACTAATGTTAGTAATAGGAGTATTCGGACGAGAGTAGATGCAAAACAATTTGTTATACACAATTCACTCATAAACTCATAGCCGAAAAAACTTGAAAGTAATATTTATTTTCAATTCTATCCTTATCATGAGTGTACATAAAATTTAAGCTTGATTGGTAGATTATACAATAATTATTGAACCAGACTGTATCAACAAAATGTCCTATTTTAAGGTATTAGCAGGAGGCGATAACCATTGGGAAAAAAAGCTAGTAACTTTATAGCACTTAGTTGCTTTAATGTATTTCAGTACAACATAAAAAAACGATTTATTTCCATCATGTAAATACTTGACATATAATTACATTCGCACCAATGAAACCGATTTTCACCAATGTTACGTAATCTCTCCAACGACTGGTTATGATTATAAGGCCGACATTAACCACCTAGTCGACACCTGTCTACAAAGTCCAAATTACCGGTTCGTAACTTTATCGACTTATGGCATATCTTGATTACATAAATTTACTTTTCTTTCATTTTACTCATATATATAACCAGCCTTGGATGCGGAGGATTTTTTGTTGTTGAGCGTCCTTTACAAATATCTTGACCAACTCCCAATTAACCGACCTATCACTGTATGTTTCATCCAATCTTCTATTGTTTTACTTGTAGCATATGCAGTACAAGGTACCTAAAACGTTGACTACGTACATGAAAATCAATTACTATGTTCATAGTTTGTTAATGCCAATCAATTTCTTGCCATGGATGAGTTTGACTATCGAGAATTATGTTGTATCATTCACATGTATACTTGAGTATCTAGGATACTGTTACATAACACTCATTAATTATCGCATCTACTTAAGTGAACGGGCAGGGTATTCGTAGTTTATTTTAGTGGAACTGGCAATAAAAGATTGTTTGACGAAGACAAGAAATGCAATACCATTAATTACATTTTTAAAATGATTAATGGATACATTTCTCCGATACTCAGTAACTTTACTACTAAAATCATTGGTTTTAACATCATGTGTTTTACGTCTTCTCGATTGTGTGTTATTAATTTCGACAATCATTAGTCGGATCACAACTTAATCTTGAATAATTTATCTCAGTGAAATGTGTTTAATCACTATAGGTTGCCAGCTTTATGTACAAAAGAGTGGTGAGGTGTAGATGGTGGTTGGAGGTAGTCAACAGGAAATCTTGGACCCGGGTTTCGTGTTATTTGGCACTCGTCAGCAAGGTGTACCTGTAATCTTGAGGGAACTGGTGCTCCCTGGCGGATTCGACCTCGTGTCACCCAGCTTCACAGTCAGAGACGTTACCACTGAGCTATCCGAGCCGTGATGTCGGTTGACTACTTTCAACCACCATCTAAATCTCAATACATAGTGCCCGCAGTGTCGAATCACCTAGACTGGTGGCCACATTGCAACATGATCGATAGCATTCGATCTGCACTAATAAGGACTAGACAAGCAAGACATTGATCACCACCCAGTGATCAATCAGTTGTAAGTGGATAGGTGTATTATCACTTGTGACATATAAGTGAGGCATCTATGAAGTCTTGTAAGTCAAACTTGCTTTAAATATAAATCAAACTAAAGACGTTAATACATAATTATCTGAATAATAATCCCAGTTGAGTAAATGCAAAGTTATTAGATTGAAGCCTGCTTTTAGTTAGTTCTGGCTATCCAACACATTCCATCTAAATGACAATTCAAACAATACGGTGGCCATGTTCTAATCCCTGAATGATAGATATATTATTTATCGTTGTTAAATAGTATATTGTATGGATTACAGTTGCGTGACCAAATATCCACTATAGTATGAGTATCGACATTCTATAAGGTAACATAGATGTATTTATGACATTGTGAGGATTTATTACGTTTGCTTCTTTTCTGAGTATGAAATTTGTATAAAGTTATCAGTTATTTTTCATTTACTTGACCTGGGTTAATTTTGCATTGAATATGAAACACTTGTGCAAGTATTTAGATATAACTAGATAGATGTAATTGTTCACGACGCCAAACTGGTTCTAGATGACGCCGCCATCGTTAAATAAACATTTATAATAATGACATACGAAACGTTTCCAAGAAAATTTCATATATTGAATATTTTGTTCAATGATAAGCCATATGATTGAATTTCATATATAGGGGATAGGATTCTTCGGAAAAATAATAAATATAAATAAAACATTGTATACATTATCATAAAACAAACTGGTTAATGTGCATGGTATCTCAGATTTATCACTTGGATTAGTTCAAGTAACTTAATAATAGGAATGCAAGTTGCATCGTGTTTCTTAGCCGGTTTAATCAGATCAAATTATAAAGATGTATACAATCTTGGTTCACTTTGAAACTATCTACAAATTGATTTCCCATTTTCATCTATACAAAGCATGCCAAAAATGTAAATTCGCTTGTTTCATAGAAAATTCTAAGAGACTAGGTCGAACGCTGTTGGGAAACCGGTGTGGGGTTAATATATGTATAAAATACTAACTCCTATCACCCCTATTGGTGGTGAATAGGTCGCCCGGCAGCACTTCCCATCCAACCATATCCTAGGCGATGCTTTCCAGTTGCTATTCATTCTTTTCATATCTGCTTCCGATTCTCAATGCACTGTGCTCTTTGGATTTCATCTTTTCCGTTTGCCTTCAGGATTCCGAGTTGGGGCTTGCCTCTTGATGCAGTTTGATGATTTCCGCAATATTTGTTCTATTGATTTCCATCGTCTTTTCCTAATTTCCTCTTCAGATGGAAGCTGGTTTGTTCTCTCCCACAGTAAGCTGATGCTAATAGTATCCAGCCAACGAATATTGAGTATCTTAGGTAGACAACTGTTTATAAATACTTTTACATTTTTGATGATGGTATTGGTAGTTCTCCGGGTTTCACCTCTGTACAGTAGAACTGTCTTGATGTTCGCATTGAAGATTGTGACTTTGATGTTGGCTCGCATACAGTTGTTTTGATTTCCAAATGATCTTCAATTGCTGGAATGCGGCCCTTATTTTCCGATCCTCGCCTTTACGTCTGCATCCGATCTTCCTTGTTCATCGATGATGCTTCACAGGTATGTGAAAGATTCCACATCTTCCAGAGCTTCTCCATCGAGTGTGATTGGGTTGGTATTTTCCGTGTTGCATTTAAGGATCTTGCTTTTTTCTTTGTGTATACTGAGGCCTACAGATGCAGAGGCTGCTACTACACTAGTTGCCTTCATCTGCACTTGTTCGTGTGTATAGGATGGAAGGGTTAGGTCATCCAAGTTGTCCATTGTATTCCGTGCTTTCCCCCAGATATTGAGGTCTTCACAATCTAGCCAACCATCAGAAGAAAGATAAAGAAGGAGAGAAAGCAGCCTTGTCTGATTCCGGGTCCTCACGTGCAATGCATCTGTCAGCTGTCCTCCATGCACAACTTTGTAGTGTAGTCGTGTGAATTCCGTATGATGTTGACAGTCTTATCAGATACACCATAATGTCGAAGAAGGTTCCATAGAGTTCTCATATCCACTCTGTCAAACGCCATATAGGAAATGAAGTTGATGTATGGTGAAGACCTCCATTCAACTGAATGTTCAACGATGATCCGTAGCGTCGCGATTTTATCTGTAAACGACCGATCCTTACGGAATCCAGTCTGTTGATCTCAAATTTCGGGATCTTCTGAACCCTTCATCTGATTTAGCAACACTTTCCCGGTAGTGACAGCATGCTTGCAGTTACTTCTGTGTCTGACTTCAGTGTTTCAGTTGGTATGTCGTTAGATCCTGCTGCTTTCTCACTCTTGATTTGCTTGATGACCACACTGATTTCTTTGATCGTTGGTGGGGTGACATCTATAGGAAGGTCTGTAAGTGCTGCTTCAATATCCGATGGGTTTGGTTGGGGTTGTCTATTCAAGAGTTCCTCAAAGTGTTTCACCCATCTGTCCGTCTGTTCTTGATTGTATTGCCTTCTTTGTCGTTGACCAATCTCTCTGGTTTACTATATTTCCCTGCCAGTTTCTTCGAAGTGTCGCATAGTTGTTTGATATTTCCTCCTCATACACTTTTTCCGCTGTCATTTTTAGCTGTTACACGTATATCTGCTCGTCGGCACTATTGCTCTTCACTCATTTGCTTGCTCCTGTGTATTCAGCTTGTGCTTTGATATTCTCTGTTCTTGTTCAGCTGTTGTTGATGGCTGTGTTTTTGTTCTTCCTTACTTGAATCTTGTCCAGGGTTTTTGTGAAGATCCGCTCCTTATGATGATGCTTCTTTCTGTCCAGAACCTCCTGACAGGTTGGAGTTAGTGTTTCTTCAATCCACTTCCAGTTTTTCTTGTTCTTCGTGGTGAGACTGATATAGCTTTGTTTGTGCGTTTGTGTAAGAATATTGTGCTACTTATAACCAATTTATTAAACGCAGATAGATTCGCAAATCTCTCATCATTGTCGCTTCTTTCTCTCAGTCAATTAATGTCGTTCCATGATATCTTCCTAACCGTTGTTGTCGGCCTGTAGTAAGAACTACCATATTTAATTTAAATATGATGTATTTTAATTGTGCTACAAAATATTGAATGACTTTGTTTCAATTTTCCCCTGGTAACCAATGTTTTCAAAGTCATTTATCTATATGAAAGCGATTTTAAGCTAATATTGTTGTCATTTGTAAAAAAAAAGTACATTTTAATTAAATTCGTGTCAACTACTTTGGCTGTTGATAATAATACTGAAATTTTATACAAAAACGATGTATCAGTAATGAATGTAACAAAATGTTCATTTTGTTTTATAGTTCAGTTAGTAGAATGATTTGACTAAATTTAATTCCATTA